ATCATTCAAAGGACTATTGTCCCTAAGTTAAGATTATTCGAAGTATTATTGCCCCTAAGTTAGGATCATTCGAAGGATTATTTCTAGGTTAGTATCATTTGAAGAATTATTATTCCTAGTTTAGGATCGTTTGAAGTTGAGTTATTGTTTCTAGGTTAACATCAGTCAAAGGATTATTATTTCTAGGTTAGAATCATTTAATGAATTATCGTCCTTAAATTAGGATCATTCAAAGGATTATTTCTAGGTTAGGATCATTTGAAGAATTATTATTTCTAGTTTAGGATCATTTGAAGTTGAATTACTGTTTCTAGGTTAGGATAATTTGATGAATTATTGCTTATGATGTAAAATTATTTAAAGAATTATTGTCTTTAAAATTAGAATTAATAACAATTGACTAATTTAGAATTAGTCAAAGGATTAGCATTGTCAACATTTTGGAATGAAGTATGTCAAAGTTGTACAATCATCAATTGTTATACAATGTTCACAATTATACACCCATCAATTTTTTGCCAATTAACGTTGAAATGGAAATCAAGTTTCCTCCCAACTTTCAGTGAAATAAATCAAATCAAGATGGTTATAACAAGGATGAGATGGAAGATTTTATAATACTTCAATGTAACACTCGGTGAAATTCACACTTTCTATAGTGAATCTTTTCGATTTCAATGATACATTTATTACGATATCAAAAGTGAATTTGTACTCACAAATTCTCTACAAGTTTCAAAGTTTCAAATTTGTTATTAATCTTCTACAAAATAAACATTTGACAATTTGTATAAAACCACCCTTGCTCTATGACTCACCAGGTGCGTCACAACTACAGCTATAATATTAAAATAAAAAAAGTTGAAATTTGATGTATTTTTGGTATTATATAATTATTATACAAGGTTGACTATGCAAATTGACTTGAATGGCAAATTAAAGTATTAATTTCAGTGAAAACAGCTGACGAGTCACGTGACAGACTCAAAATGGCGCAGGAGGTTAAATCAAAAGAATTAAAAAAGATTTTATACAATACTAGTTCTCCACCTACTAATTTATATACAAAATATAATGTAACTTCATAATTTTAAAATAAAACCAAAGGTAAAAAAATCTGAATAAACCTAAAAATTAAAAATTAATAGAAACGAAGTCGAAGTAAAAATACTTTCTTATCGTTTGTAACTGCATAAGAATGTAAATTCCTCTTGGATCATTTTATCGGAATCTAAACAGCGCCACGAAGTACGGTGATAAATCAAAAAGAAATCTCCGCATATTCAATGGAATCACCTGAATAATTTCATTCTTTCGCAAACACGAAAGTATACAATTGGCGAAATATTTTACACGAAAATTATACGCATCGCGTGTTCAAACATTTCTCCCACTTTCTCCCTGACAATAAACGGTATCGAGTTTCAAGCATAACACGAGAAGCTGTTTCTTCATCTTTCGAAACGATAGATCGTTTTCTTGCGACAGTTCCGGCATCCCGGGAACGCGAACCGCTCGATTTTAAATAGCGATCGCTTTCCAAACACATCGGGAGAACCTTTTTCTTTGTATGATCTTGCAGAAATCGTGAATCATAAGAACGCAATGATATCTCAGCTTTTTGAATCGAGCTATCGTTTCTTCACGCAAATACATTCGCAATGCTTCCGTTCTTTCTGAAACGTCATAGATCGGTATCGTATGTATATTTACATAGAAAAATCTACTTCTTTTCTTCTGATTATCATTTTTTTTTATTAATATACCGATACTGGTGGTCAATTTTTCAGTCTCAACTCTTTATAGCATGATATACAGGGTGTATCACAACTGTAGGTCCCTGAAATGGTAGCTAACGTGATTCTGAATAAGATTTCCCTTTGCAAAAATGGGATCTGAAGCTTCGTTTTTGAATTATTCATTCGTATTTACATCTCCAGCCGAATTTTAGCTAAACCGATAGAAAATCAGAAACTGTTTTCCCCCGGCAATGTCACAAAAATTGTTAGCCCACTCCGAGCTTTTGCGAAACGTAAAAATTCTTCGAAGAGTCACTCTCGAGTCATCAAGTACGCAGCAAAATAAAAGTACGTATCAAGTTCCAAGTATCAGGTTACAATACTAGTTCTCCACCTACTAATTTATATACAAAATATAATGTAACTTCATAATTTTAAAATAAAACCAAAGGTAAAAAAATCTGAATAAACCTAAAAATTAAAAATTAATAGAAACGAAGTCGAAGTAAAAATACTTTCTTATCGTTTGTAACTGCATAAGAATGTAAATTCCTCTTGGATCATTTTATCGGAATCTAAACAGCGCCACGAAGTACGGTGATAAATCAAAAAGAAATCTCCGCATATTCAATGGAATCACCTGAATAATTTCATTCTTTCGCAAACACGAAAGTATACAATTGGCGAAATATTTTACACGAAAATTATACGCATCGCGTGTTCAAACATTTCTCCCACTTTCTCCCTGACAATAAACGGTATCGAGTTTCAAGCATAACACGAGAAGCTGTTTCTTCATCTTTCGAAACGATAGATCGTTTTCTTGCGACAGTTCCGGCATCCCGGGAACGCGAACCGCTCGATTTTAAATAGCGATCGCTTTCCAAACACATCGGGAGAACCTTTTTCTTTGTATGATCTTGCAGAAATCGTGAATCATAAGAACGCAATGATATCTCAGCTTTTTGAATCGAGCTATCGTTTCTTCACGCAAATACATTCGCAATGCTTCCGTTCTTTCTGAAACGTCATAGATCGGTATCGTATGTATATTTACATAGAAAAATCTACTTCTTTTCTTCTGATTATCATTTTTTTTTATTAATATACCGATACTGGTGGTCAATTTTTCAGTCTCAACTCTTTATAGCATGATATACAGGGTGTATCACAACTGTAGGTCCCTGAAATGGTAGCTAACGTGATTCTGAATAAGATTTCCCTTTGCAAAAATGGGATCTGAAGCTTCGTTTTTGAATTATTCATTCGTATTTACATCTCCAGCCGAATTTTAGCTAAACCGATAGAAAATCAGAAACTGTTTTCCCCCGGCAATGTCACAAAAATTGTTAGCCCACTCCGAGCTTTTGCGAAACGTAAAAATTCTTCGAAGAGTCACTCTCGAGTCATCAAGTACGCAGCAAAATAAAAGTACGTATCAAGTTCCAAGTATCAGGTTCCAGGTATCAAGTATCAGGTTTCAAATATCAAGTTTCAAGTATCGAGTTACAAGTCTGGTCGTTAAAAGTACGTATCAAGTTACAAGTATCAGGTTTCAGGTACCAAGTGTCAGGTTTCAAATATCAAGTTTCAAGTTCCAAGTATCAGGTTTCAGGTATCAAGTGTCGGATTTCAAATATCAAGTTTCAAGGTCCGAGTATCAGGTTTCAGGTAGCAAGTATCAAGTTTCAGATATCAGGTTTCAAGTACCAAGTGTTAGGTTTCACGTATCAAGTGTCAGAATCCTTCAGATTCACGTCAGCTACCCCCTATTTTAGGCACCTACACTAGTTGAGATACCCTGTATAAAAAATTGTCGGTAACCAATACTGTAATTATATACGAGGTTATAGTACACGAAAAAAGAAGTCAAAAATGCAATATGACATGTTTTCATGGGAACCTACGTTTTCGAGAAAATTGAATTTGAACATTCGTCAAAATATCTGCAAAAATGTTTATACAGAAAAATTATTTCGACAAGTTTTTATTTAATTTAATAATTAATTCAGACTTCAATAGTTCATCTCTCTGATACAAAAATTGATCTATTAAACAATCATATTGTATTAAACAATTATATTAAACAATCACATTGCATTAAACAATTGTATTAAACAATCTACCAATTAAGTGATCATTTCTTTCTATCATAAAAATAATAAAAATGCACAAATTATATTTAATAATATTTCATCCAACAATATCCGAACCGTTGTGTTGCACTTTGTCAATGATACCGGAAGTCGAATAATAATCAGACAGCACGGTACTTCCGGTTCGTATGCGTCGCTATCCCAGTCACGTGTTCTAAAACTTTGCAACATTATTCGAACGTTTATGATTTAATACGATTTTCATTTTAATCTTGCAAAGTTTCCTGTGAGGATTACTGGGATCGGTGCTAATTACATTCATTCATTTATATTCATTTTTATGTTCACAATTTTAATGAACGGAAGAGAGATTCAGGCATCCACTTGCTAATTGAGAGGAGACATATTTTGTAATTTATTCGGATTTTGGAGAAACTTGCTGACATTTATCGATCTTTGATCATTTTTTTGTCTTTAAAGTTTTGAAGGGGATTTTATATTGATAGTTATTTTTAATGCGGTGAAATTTTATTTGGGAGGTTTGTACACTCGTTAGTGACTTGTTCGTTATCGGACCGCTCGCTATTCGACCGTTCGCTATCGGTACGCTCGGTAATGGCCCATTACCTAATTCCCTCAACCAACAATTTTGTTCCAAAGTTCCAAATATCTGAAGCCTTAATATTTAGAAATTCCAAGCTTCTGAGGTTAAAAAATTTCAAATTTCCAAAGTTACAAAATTGAAAACTTCAAATATTAAAAAATTTCAAAGTTCAAAAGTTTCAAAACTTCAACCTTCTTAAATTAAAAAATTTCATGATTCCAAAGCTGCTGAACTGTAAACTCTAAATATACAAAAATTCCAAAGACCCAAATTTAAAAAATTTCAAACTTCTCAAATTCAAAAATATGAAGGGTCCAAATTCACAAAATAAATTTCAAAATTTCCAAAGTCCTAACAAAATCCTATAACTCTAAGGTTGTAAAATTACCAAAGTAGCAAAATTGCAAGGTCCATAAATCCCAGTGATGTTCCCCAGAATCCAACTTCGCAAACAAGTAATAGAAGTCGCTCCTTAAATTTACTACCATCATTCAGTTCGCGAACTTCAATCAATACCTCAACTTTGTTTACAGTGTTTGAAAGTAAAACTGTCTGTTACAGGAAGCGAAGAACAACAACCCGAGGTACTCCCGCAAAATGAGGGAATCTTATCTTCCTTGGATAACGCTGTAACGGTATCTCAAGATGTACACCGAGTGGCAAAAGGTGAGTCATCTTATTATTCCGTGGTTTTCTTTATAATTCAAAAACGAAGCTTGGAACCCGATTTTTGCAAAGGGAAATTTTGTTCAGAATTAGTTTAAGGACCTGGTACGAGGACGCTAGTTGTGAGACGCCCTGTAGAACGACTACAATTATTAATCTACATAATATTAATCTTGCTAGCTTATGTGGATTATAGCTAGCTTAGCTATTATCTTACTAAAAGTATTCCAATACTGAAGGTTAAAGTAGAAATCGTCAACCCTCCCATTTAGATTCCGAAAGAAAATAACTGGAAGGGACACGCCTAAACGTAGAAGACAGAGGAGTCTATTGTTGACGAGAAGAATAAAAAGAAATAATGAGCAGCTTTCGGTTCATTGTGGTGTTGCACAATATTTACGTGGTCAGGATCGTAGCAGGGATTGTTGCGTGGTCGGAGTCAATGATCTGTGTACACGCAATTGCGTCGCCTTGCTAGCTAGCCACTTTCGAATGCCTCTGCGCTTCGTGTTGCTTCGTCCGACGACCTAATCCCACTCTACTCGCCATTACTCGCGAATACTATTGTGCGACTTGTACTATGGGGCGTTCAGCTTTTAACTGGGTACACGTTTTAGTCGGGTGTAGATTTTAGGATCTTTTGCTTAGGTCCACATTTTTTCTAGGTATGGACCTTTCGTAGATTCACCCTTTTACGAGGTCCACATTTTTTCTGGGTTTGGACCTTTCATAGATTCACATTTTGTCTAGGTTTAAATTTCTCGTAGGTTTGGGTATTTTATAGATTCATACTTTGATTGGGTCCAGATTTCTGTTGGGTTTAGAGGTCTTTCAGATTTGGATTTTAGCTAGGTTCAGATTTTTAGATCTAGGTTTTACCTAGGTTCAGATTTCCAACTCTAGGTTTTACCTAGGTTCAGATTTCCAGCTCTAGGTTTTACCTAGGTCCAGATTTCCAGCTCTAGGTTTTACCTAGGTCCACATTTTTTCTGGGTCTGGACCTTACATAACTCCACACTTTCACTAGGTCCAAATTTTTTCTGGGTCTGGACCTTTTATAGATCCACAGAATCTCTAGGTCCAAATTTCTTCCAGATATGGACCTTTCATAGACCCACACTTTGACTAGGTCCACATTTCTTCTGAGTTTGAATATTTCATAGATTTACTCTTTGTCTAGGTCCACATTTCTGTTAGGTTCAGACGTCTTTCAAATTTAGATTCTAGCTGGGTCTAGATTTGTTCTAGGTCTAGATTTTATCCAGGTCCACATTGCTACTAAGTCCAGATTTGTTCTAGGTCTAGATTTTATCCAGGTCCACATTGCTCCTAGGTGCAGACATGTTCCAGATCTAGATTTTACCCAGGTCCACATTTCTCCTAGGTCCAGATTTGTTCCAGGTCCACATTTCTCCTAGGTCCAGATTTGTTCCAGGTCTAGATTTTATCCAGGTCCACATTGCTCCTAGGTCCAGACATGTTCCAGGTCTAGATTTTACCCAGGTCCACACTACTCCTAGGTCCAGATTTGTTCCAGGTCTAGATCTTCCCTACGTCTGAACTTCTTCTAGGTCTAAATTTGCCATAGGTCCAGATTTTCATCAGATCCAAATCCTCACAACGTCCAAATGTTATATAGGTCCAGACGTTCTTTACATCCAAATATCACCTGGATATAAATTTCTCTAAGATCTACGTTTAATCTAGCTCTAAATTTGCAACACATCTAATTCTCCTCTCAGTTTTATATTAAAATCCACATTTTACCTAGGTTCAAGCTTCGTTCAGGTCCAGATCTTGATCCACATTCCACATGTTCAAATTGTTTCTAAGTCTAATATTATTTCAAGTCTGCATTCTTATGCATATGTACTGATTTTCTGAGTTTGAGCCACACCATTGATCGTCATATTTAATCATATTTTGATCTACACCATAAAACTAATCACAGCACAAAATCTAGCACCATGCTGCACAGAAATAACTTTCATATGCAGATCAAAGAATATTATATAACGCAGTACATAACAATGTTACAATTAATAGAACATATACGAGTGAAAAGAAGTTAGTGAAGCTTGAAATAACATTCTTAAAATTAGGTATTCAGTAAAAATTGTACCAAATTAAGTAATTATTCGATAGCTTATGTAACTCGCAGCTATCAGTTAGCGAACAAATGGGGAGCAATTATTTGAATAGAGGACTCCGTTCGTGGGAGATGTAGCCAACAATGACTCATTATGAAGTATGCTCTTTCAGAATGTTCAAAATACTGATATACGTAAAATAGCATATATGTTCTTTCAAACTGAACATTCAAGTGTCACTGTTTCGAATTTCACTCGATTCGATTTGGAGTTAAACCAGCAGCGTATTTAAATGATCAGAAAAGGAAATATGGTACATTAATTATCAAAGCTATGTGCGTTATATTGCACCGATATCATAAAATTGGTTACGCTACTCGACGACGATGTCTTCCTCAATTATTCACGAGCTCATTATTCGTGATTGGACGAATGTAATACGGGCTCGAGTAAAAGTGAGAATCTGTCTGAGCAAGAGGGAAATGTTTTTAAAATCATTGCAAATGTTGATTAATTTCACGACCCGCGTTCTTGCTTCTTGCGGAAACATTTCCCTGTGCATCATAATTCATTTGATGCACCGTTCGCTTTTTACGGAGTCTTATTTACAATTTAAATTCGACTATGTACTTATGGAGAGTTGGGGATTTTGGAATTTAGGGATTTTTGGGAGAGAATTTTTGGAATTTGGGGATTTAGGGACTTTGGGGCGGGAATTTAGGAATTTAGGGATTTAGGGATTTTAGGGCAGGAATTTTTGGAATTTAGGGATTTTGGGGCAGGAATTTTAGAATTTGGGGACTTAGGAATTTAGGAATTTAGGCATTTAGGAATTTTGACATTTTGGGACAGAAACTTTGGAATCTAGGAATTTTGGTATATAGAAATTTTGGAATCTAGGGATTTGGGAATTTTGGGATTTGGGGACAGAAACTTTGGAATCTAGGGATTTTGGGATATAGAAATTTTGGATTTTAGGGATTTTGGTATATAGTAATTTTGAATTCTAGGGATTTTGGTATATAGAAATTTTGGAATCTAGGGATTTGGGATTTGTGGACAGAAATTTTGGAATCTAGGGATATTTGAGATATAGAAATTTAGGAATTTGGAATCTAGGAATTTTGAAACAGAAATTTGGAAATTTATTGAATTTTGGGATAGAAATTTATGAATTTAGGAATCTGGGGAATTTTGGGAGAGAAATGTACGAATCTAGGGAATTATGAGACATGCATTTAGAAATCTAAGGATTTTGTTACAGAAATTTAGAAATTTAAGAATCTAGGGAATTTTGTTACAAAAATTTAGAAATTTAAGAATCTAGGGAATTTTGTTACAGAAATTTAGGAATCTAGGGATTTTTCAACATAGAAATTTAAAAACTTAGGAATTCAGAAATTTAAGAGTTTACAAATCTGAAGATCTAGATTGGAAATTTTGGAATTAAGGAATTTATTAATTTTGCTGCAAATTTAATTATTAGAAAATCTGGGAATTTAATAACGTCCAACATTCAGAATAATGGATTTGACACTTTGGAGATCTTCAAATTCCAGAACCTATATTTTTGAAAATATTAAAATTCCCCAAAACTTCTAAACTATCTACTACTCTCTCAAAAGTCCTAAAAAATATATTCCACTTACATTGATCGAATCAACAGATATACTTGAAGAGTCCAAATACCTAAACACAGTCGATCACAACTTCAAACGCTTCCATACTCGATCACAATTCTGCCCGTCGAACTGACGTTTCTACCAACACAATCGGCTTTTACCATCGATAGTTCATGCCGCTTCTGCAACTCGCCACGGTGGCTAGTTAGAGAATCGCTTCCCCGACGGCCACAACCTATATCCAGGTACCTCCACGTAGGCGTACGCGTATTTAGCGCGTAATTTATATAAGAAGAGAGGCACGCTTGGTTCCACCCCAAAGCACTTCGATACACTGGCGCCAGCACTTCTTCCTTCACGTTTCGAAAACTCTGTAAAAACTCCGAAACCTCCTCAACAACTGCCTCCTATCGCCATGAAAGGACAAACCGCCTCGATAAGCATCTCGATAACAAATTCAACATAATTTCTTGGACAGACCGGTTGCTCATAGCTAGCCAATTAGACGGTGTTTCGATAAAAAAGGTGTACGCCACTGCGAGCACACAGCAATTGTTGCGGAGAAGAGGCGTATAACTTCCAGTGTTGCATCGAACATCCTCGCGTCCGGATCGTGAAAGCCTCCTCGTTCTTTTTCGAACAACCCCCAGTTCTCTTCAGAAGTGCAATTTTCGTGTTTGTGCAAACTTGTGACTTTGTGCACTCGGATTATTCAGAACAAAGTATGTCGAGCTGAATTGGTTCCTGACGTATTCCCGAAACGTACACCGACCGTTAACGCATTCTATGGGACACCGATTTTTCGAGACTGCTGACCCAATGTTCCCGATAGTAATCGCCTTCGTGGCCTCCTAACTCCCTTTAAGTGAATTTAAAATTCACGGCGATAGTGCTCGAGCAAATCTGTGTCCGTACGTGTCCGGCTTATTAAACACTGTCCACATCTTGCCTCTGATTTTCTGAAGACTTTTGCTCAGATTTGTCAAAATGTGACGAGGTCAAAAAGAACGGAAAATGCAGCTTTCTATAAATAGAAAGGGTGACTAAAATCGCCTGGGGCAACCTTGAACCCTGAAACACGAAGTTCGGTTAAATTGTCGCAGAAAATAGCTGGTTAGACAGGTACAGGTAGAACCCGTACGATCGAGTGATAAGAAGGTCAAGCGTTAACCGGTGTTAAACGAAACTGGTGCACGCTTTCAAACGGCCGGCAGCTTTGTTGAATTACACGCTTCGTGGTCTGTTTGTGGTTTAATCGAGGTTCCCGTTACCAGAAATGTCGCTGGCGGAATATCACGTGTGCACAGAGTCGAGTTATAAGTTGAGTGATAAAGTGCGAGAAATGAAAATCTGAAGGTACAAGATGGAGTCGTGCAAGAAAGCTGAGCGCAGGTCTACGCGATCGTCGACCTCGAGGAATCGGTTTTCGTCACGAAACACGCGCTCGGAAGCTTTCTACGCTGCCGCGGAACCGTTATCCGTCCGACGCGCGTTGCATAATTCCTCCGGCCCAGACCCAGATACGAATTCCGCTCTGAATTCCAGCGGATCGACGGAACGCGTTAGAAGGTACCACTCTTCCGGTCGGCCGAGGAACCAGAGTCCGGTGAAAACCTTCCATACAATCCCGCGGGACGTGGCGGTCTCCAGAAAGGACATCTTGCGAAGGTACAGCAAAGAGAAAGAGGAGGATGGCAGAAGAAGGTCCACGGACGCGGAGAGGCCTAAGACTCTGCCCTCCGTGGGCAAAAGGTCCAAGGAGCCGAGCCGGGGTGTCCGAAGAGTCTCCAGACAGGATATCATACAGAGGAGAGCTAGCGTGGACGCGTCGACTCTTCGGGCCAGAGAGCTAGAAAGTTCAGAGGCGAAAGGTGGCACCTCCACCGGTTTCTCGACGAACGTCTCGAGGCCGAGGAACACCGGGTGGGGCAGAGAAGATGAGAGAGAGTCCAGGTCGGCCTGTGATTTCCTGACAGTCACCAACAAGCTGCAGGATATTAACCGCGGCCTTGTGCCGAGACCGTCGACCTTGCCCAAGATTGTTCACGCATCGAGGACATCCAGGTCAACGGAGGATTGGGCCAGCCCTAGGCT